GTTCTTTGGAATCTGAATTAGAATTATTGTTGTACTTATCATTCACTGAATCTGGATACTCTCAATGAAAGTGCACTTTTTATCAAGTCGATTCTGTGGGTTATCGAATATTTCCGGCGCACATCCCTAATTTAAAACATTGTAACAACTTGAATCTCATTTCTTCCCACATAAACTCTTCTGAAATGTGTTTACAGTATTTACATTGTGTTTTTCAATGGTGTTTGACATTCGCTGTAAAATATGAATGTATAAAAGAAACCCAACGAGCGGCGAATTCCCTCGTAACTTAAAACAAAACAATTGAATTAATACGTTTGCCAGAAAATATGAAACTACAGCGATTATTAGTGACATATTGAGTCAATGACCCAAGTTACCGAGAATGGGCGCGATCACGTCAGATCTCGAAAGTTAAACAGGATTTGAGCCTCAGTGCCTGACTGGGCGACCGCAGTGCGTAAAGTCAGGTGCCATAGGCATTCTGGGCAGTAGAGGGCAGTGCAGCGAAACCCATTTTACTTCTAAACTCCACCAACTTGTTACAACCCCCCCTGACTAGCTTGGTAAATCTTCTTGGTTCTTTCGGTAAAGTCACGTAGAAGGAAAATAATAAAATAATAAAATAATTAAAATAAAACATAATAAAATAATTCTCACGACGTTTCGGCCACAACGCAAGCAGCCGTCCTCAGGTGAAGACCAGGTCTGTTGGGGAGACGGTGTCTTATTTTATTATGTTTTATTTTTATTATTTTATTATTTCCCTTCTACGTGACTTTACCGAAAGAACCAAGAAGATGAATCCCTGCAGTCACGAAAGCTTTAAATCGAAATTTAGCTTGGAAAAGTACGGTCAAATATGCCTCGTGGCCCGCAAGGCGTGGGGAAGACCTCATCCAGCAGTGGATTTACAAAACAGGCTCTACCTACATGGTAGGGCTACGTAAAACTTCTAGCATGGCCTTGATGTCTTTAAAATATAGCTGGGCACACTAAAATGTATTTTGCATCGTTATACAATGAACCCTCGGCTAGACTCGAACAAGAATCATTGTCCGACTACTCACAGAGGGCCCGCCTGGAATTGCAAAAAAATCACGGGGGTTTGCCTTCACCGCTACATAACATAGGGCCGAGGTTTAATTGCAATGACAAATCTCGAATCGAAAGGTACGTGCCCTGATTGTTAGACTACTGAACCATTTCCAGAAAAAATAAATACCTATCGACAATCCCATTTGCACAGCAAAGCAGACATTTTAATTAATGCAGAAGTCATGACCACCTTAATGCTATGGGTCGGAGCACTAATCCGACGCCGCTAAGATCCTGGGCTCGAATCTGCGTTTCAGCCACCTGTGGTTAAACCAGGTTCTCAGGTGCAGTCAGTTGAAGGTCCCAACCTGATCACAGACGACTGCACCAGGAACCCAATTATGATTAGCATTTCCAAATACAACACAGCGAGTTGTGTGGCAGGAAAGTGAAGCTTCCCATGGCTGTGAATTCGAGGTCGTTTGAAAGGATCTTCAGGAGTAGTTCTGACATCCCCTTCCACGGACCATTCTCTCACGCAAGGGGACGGGCGCTCATTCTACGAGAAGTCCAAGTGGACGCTTGCTTTGTCTCATTACACGACACTGCAGGATAGCGCGATTGGAATAGAAATTTAGCTGGGGAAAGCACGACACTTATTAAAATCTATTGCATATGTGAACAATACAGAACTAAAATATTTGGTTTTAGAAAAAGTGATAAACTGCTTGCAATGAATAAACACGGTGGTGGATGTATGCTCAGTGCCGGCTCTAATTGAATTTGGCCACTCATGCAACACAAAACAGCGTAACCAGAGAGGAGCGAGCCGAGGTAATGATGCTGCTGCTGTCTCCTCCGATCCAATAATGAGATATGGCGTAATAAACGGGCCGTGCTAATGGCTACATTTGTCTGTCAGCTTGATCGCGTGCGCGCGTGCACAGCTCCGGAACGCAGCTGCACTTCCCTGGGAGGTGTTCACCCAGAAGTCCGGTCGTGCCGTGGCACCGTGTCACCGCGTGCCATCGCGTACCATGCTACCACGTGCCACCACGTATCGTACCACCACGTATCGTACCACCACGCACCGTGCCACCGCGTGCCACCGTGCAACCGCGTGCCATCGCGTGCCATCGCGTACCATGCTACCATGCTACCACGTGCCACCACGTATCGTACCACCACGTACCGTGCCACCATGCACCGTGCCACCGCGTGCATTGAGGCATCTCAGCTACGGCTTAAAATCCCCTCCAGTGATCTCTGGTCCGCACAGTAGAGGGCAGCACTCACCCACCCGCTCTGCATACAGGAAGTAATGTTTGTGGCATGGCAACCCAAGCAATATTTGAATTCTCAGAGCTGGAATGGTACATCTAAATGAAGTGCGGAACGATGTTTAATTTGGGCAGGTACTTTGGCGACCAGGGGCTGAGACCATCAACTCATTACTCATTCCAGCCCAGGGTGTCAGTGGTGCCAGCCCAGTGCTCCGACGCCTTAAATCACCCCAGCCACCTCAATAAGGAGGATACTTAGAGGCCAACAAACCGCATGAGCAAGTCGCGTTTTTACGAAATATTCCTCTACCATTAAACCTCAACGGTGATTGATTAACTCGGCACAACTTTGAATTGCTCTTGGCTTCCTCTCTGCTATGTTTAGCCACCTCTGAAGTGTGATCCAGTTATTTTACAACACAATTATGGTGGGTGAAGGGAACTGATAATAAATTAGTTTTTTTTAGCAACACGGCTAATTTAAAAGAGGCTCGCTTCACTGTAATCAAACACTGGGGATTCTGGAGCAAATGCTGGCTGAGTAGACTGAACACAATTCATGCATTATAGAGGATACATAATCAATTAAAGAAGCAATGAAGCCATTCTGGGGTGCTTGAGATGTGAATTGCACTACTCTTGGGCTCTTCAACAAGTAGTCTCAGTTGTCTTTTGGAGCTTTTGCCATTTATACATTGGTCTGGTGAGACGTAGGCAACTTACAATGACCCACAGTTCTAAAATACACCTGTTGTGAATGTTTTTTTTTCTTCCTGCTAATATCGTAATAATCAGTAGTGGTAGTAGGTTAATAAAGCGATCAAACTGTACACACAATACAAACAAGACGGTAAAAAGAAAGAGCGTAAAAGTAATCCATTCTTGAATCGACTAACAGCGATCAATGCCTGTTTAGAGCCTTGAGGCAGTGATGAAAATTCAACATTTATATGGCCGAGCTATTTGACTTCCTCGCTGAGCGGTTGTTATTTTTTATCAACCGAATGTGGACGATGACCTTAGCCGACCCTCGACCAGGATTTGCACTCTCGCAACCTTCCAACCACGTGCCATGCACTCGATAGCCACACCTCGTGGCCAGATACAGATCATCGTCAGCCAGAGCTAAATGCTGTGGACGCCTGGATGAGTCACTGTGATTGATGAACCAAGTATGATTAGGATTTTTCGATAGATTTTTTTTATTAAGTTAATCGCACAACCACGGCGCCAATCTCTCACGAGACTGAAAAACGCACAGCAGAAATGCATTCCACGTATTTACAGCGCGCACCTTAACGTCTGCGGAACCCTGCAATTGCTCACTCACGCCACTGCTCACTCAAGCCTCCACTCGGGAGCCCCTCTGGAGGGCAATTTGGGGGCCGTCCATAAATGACGTCACGCGATTTTGGACGATTTTTGACCCCCCTCCCCCCCCTTCATCACACGGCGTCACAAAAAGTCAGACCCCCCCCTCAATATGACGTCACAAAGCTCTGCCCCCCCCCCACCCAAAATAAAACATGCTTCAAATCGCTTTAAATTATTGTCATTGTAGTGCGTATTTAATGTGGCGCTGCACTCTTATGTTGTAGGAGAACACATTTATTAAAACGTCTATTTAATTAAGTAGAACGTGTTGTCTATATTTATTTAAAGTTGCGCATTTTGACGTGACGTCACATTTCTCAAACCCCCCCCCCCCCTCGTCACATATCGTCACAAATGTCTGACCCCCCCCCCCCCCCCCAGGTGTGTAACGTAATTTATGGACGGCCCCTTGGTCTACTCTTCCACGCTGCCCAGACGTCTTGAAAACGGTGGGAGTGCCCATGTTTTACCCCACCAAATGAGGCCTGCTGTCCGACTGACTGTGGTGAACTTATCGATACTGCTGGGTGGACCGGTGACGGGAAGATTTTTTTAAAGGACTGTCCTGGTATGGATTGCTCGTTAGCATGTTAAAGATTTTGTTACAACAAAATAACTTGTTTTCATTGTTATTGATGTGTCCATATACTTAAGCAAGCAGCGGCACAGTGGTATGGCGGAGAGCCCACTGCGCTATAAACCCTGGCCATCTGAGTTCGATTCCCGGCCACGGCTAACGTCACGGGTGAGCGAAATATAAACTGGTCTAGGGCTCTCCTTGACCATCGCACATTGACCAGCGCCGTGAAGTATGATCAAACAACTCCCATACTGGCATTGTGTGGGGGGGGGGGGGGGAGGCTTTAATCCAGCAATTTATTGACAAAGGTTTGCAAATTAAACTATTATACTCTTACTTTAGCAAGCACTCTAATCGAGATAAATTGCCCCCTTCTCAAAAGAGTAAAGGGATGTAAACTATTTTATGAGAAATGGGGAAGCACTTCTCAATTGGCAGCATTGGAGCCGGTGGTGGAAATTCCACATTCACATGGTGGAGGTCAGTCTTTCTAACTGTTCTTGACTTCCCACACAGCGGAACTTGCTTTATAAATTATCCAGCCAAGGAATGCTACGTTGTGTCAACTCATGGATACTACAAAGCCTTAACCCAGAGATGGACTGCAGTATGCGCTTAATGCACTTTCTAAAATCGATCTTTTTGTACTTTATTCTTCGTGTTAACACCACTTTCAAACAACACAGACAGAGGAGGGCAGTTGTAAAAAAAAAAACAGATATTACCACTGGCCTGTGAACATCCCAGAAGGCCCTCTCTTGGCTCTCGGTGATTTTCTTCTCGACCTTTTCACGTTTACGATCAATCCTGGGAAATATCAAAACGAGAAAAAAATCATTGCCAGAAACAGATGCAGGCACACACACAGAAAGACACAGCTCCAATAATCAGTCTCTATGGCTGCAAGAACAAGAGCTGTTAGTGAGTACCGTTGAGGTTCGCACTGCAAGAGTTTATGTTGTCTAACTAGGTAAGAGTGACCTTTGGGAATTAGTCTGCTGGTAGGGTACAACGATGGCTGTGTATTACTCCACTTGAGTATGTATGTGTAGTAATTTGCAGGAGGTTTGGACGACGTAGTTTGAGGCACACGTATTTATTAACACAAACGTAATTACAGAGACGGGGATACACAACACTTGAAGGGGTATCGGCCCCTTCACCCGTCTAACAGGGAGACCCAACGTCTAACCCGGCTAGCCTACTCCCAGGTCCTCCACTACAGAGCTAAGGGAGGCTATCTATCCCAGCCCTGGTCAAGCTGGAATTTACGGCACCCTGAGTCTCCAGACCGCCTCTTATAAGAACATCGGTCTGGGCTCTCGGGGCCACGCCACCGGCTTTCCCTGGTCGGTCCTGACAAGGACAGCGAGCCAGGTGAGTTCCAGGGCCTACTCTAACTGGTCTTTAATCTTCGCTGGTTAAAGCTAACACTCGACCTCGAGCCCTCCGGCTCACCACCTTATATAGAAATCGCCCCCCCCCCCAGGGGGGCCGTGGGGGATGGCAGGTGCGGACGTCGATGTAAGCACCTTCTCTGCGTACGGCCATAACCATGCCCCTTGCCGTGGCAGATCACTGTTACAACTCAGTGGGCTCACATGATATTGACTTCTCCAAGACAGAGGTTCTCTGCAAGCCATCTGGCTATCATGAGAGATTCGTTCATGAGGCGATCCACATATACAAACACAGAGACAATTTTAACCGAGAAGATGGATTCTGGCTTAGCAATCATTGGAAGGACGTAATAAACCATTTCGACACACATTAGGGTGGGTAGAATAATACATAGTGTTATATTAAATGTATAAGGTATAGGTTGGTTTAGAGCAATACAGTATATAATTTAATGTTGGCAGTATATAGTACGGTATATGCTCGTGTGATACAATAGAATAAAGTTTAGATGGAAGCATATTATATAATTTTTACGACGTAGAATTGTAATGTATTACTTGCTGTTAGTAACTCAGCTTAGTGTAGAGTATAGTAAGTATACTGATTGTGCTATGCAATTTATACTTTAGTTTTTTATGTAGTTTATACTTTAGTTTTCTACGTGGTTGTTGAGTAACTGCAGCTACATATCATTAACATTCCTTTCCTTTGTTACTGCTAATCCCTGCACCCCCCCTTGGTGCTGTTGATCCTGCATAATGCATGGGCATAATATGACTTTGAAACCTCCCCGCCCACCTCCTACGCATTTTCCATGTATATGCTAAATTCCTCTTCATATGCACATTCTTTTGTTAAGGCGCCCTTTCTTCCACCTCCAACGCAGCTTATATATAAGCTCCTAGCTTGGCATTGTCTCATTCTTCACCTGAGGACGGCTGCTTGCGTTGTGGCCGAAACGTCGTGAGAATTGTTTTATTATGTTTTATTTGTATTATTTTGTTACTTCCCTTCTACGTGACTTTACCGAAAGAACCAAGAAGAAGACATGCCCCTTGTGTTTGTTTCCCATCCGTACCAATACACCTCTACATATGTATGTTGAACTTCTTTCGCACGGGACATAGCCAACCATGCTAATCAGAGACGTGGGAATCATTTTGCGGGTTCTTTTCGAATTTGTAGAAATTAGACCTTCGTGCCAGCACACAATGGCATACTATTGAGAATGGCACACAGGAGATGAGGAGAACCTTTAACGTCCACGTTGGTACTATTACGGTCACTACACCCGCAGCAATAACCAGGGCGGCATGGGCCCTTGTGCGTGTGTTCTCCCCTACCTTCCCTTGTCTGTGCATGTACATGGGGGTTACTTGTCTGTGTATGTACATGGGGGTTACTTGTCTGTGTAAGTACAAAATCGATTACATAACTCGACCAACACCAAGGATGATGATGATGATGTCTAGATTTGAAGCTTTCGTGACTGCAATGATTCATACTCTTAGTTATTTCGGTAAAGCCACGTAGGTAAAAAAAAATGAAATTAAAAATTAATCAAAATGAAATAAAAATCACGATGTTTCGGAGGCAACACAAGTCTCCATCATCAGGTGGGACCGTCACAGCCAGATTTGCAGCAAATATTGCAGCAAATCTGACTGTGACGGCAGCAAATATTGCAGCAAATCTGGCTGTGACGGTCCCACCTGATGACGGAGACTTGTGTTGCCTCCTAAAAAGTCGTGATTTTTATTTCATTTTGATTAATTTTAATTTCATTTTTTACCTACGTGACTTTACCGAAAGAACTAAGAGTATGATGATGATGTCATATAATTGCCATTCCGTCAATTACTTTCGAAAATACCTTACTGGTAAGTGGTAATTTAATCGATGGCCGGTATTTATTTACAATTGTAACGACTCAGTGCCATGTTTCATTAACGTTTTGTGCGGGAAATGGAAAATATTACCAAACGATCATCACGATGCGACGATATTTTTTGTGCGAAAGGGACGATGCGATGATTACACTGGTCAACAAAAAAAAACATTTTTTCTGGCCTGGACTTTGCAGCTGTTTTAGAATAATTTCAGGGTGCTGATTCCAAATCTGATCTCAGATTTGCTCTATCACATCTCATTTTATGCTATCGGCATACCCCATTTTCATTGATTTTACCCGAAATTAACTCTGTCACTTATGATTACCAGTTGTTGCGAGTCAGTGACTGCTTTAGTGTTAAAATATGGTGCTGTATTTTTAGGATAGTGTGTTTATAATATCATTTTATGTAGATATCCACATTCATTTAATATTTTTCTTCTGCAGTTTTAATTGAAAATGCAATATTTGAAATCTCAAAAACCTGATGTGATAGACAAAACCTGATACCAGATTTGGAATCGGCACCCCAAAATTACCTTAAAACCGTTGGAATACCTTATGCCAGAAAAAGTGTGTTGACCAGTGTTATCGTGTCTCTCGCACGATGTGACGCAGTGACGCCTTGCCTCGGCGACCCGAGCGGGCACACAACACGGCACGCCCAGCCCCACAGATGAAATTTGTTTAGGGTCTTAAGCAGCTTCATAAATCTGGCGCTTTGTATCCAGATAGCGCTAAGGGAGCCAATTAAAGCCGCCTTCGTACATTGTACACACAGCGCAGGTCTAATGAGCACGACGACAATACCCCGTTAAGGAGGGGAGCAAAAACCCGTGAACCATTCCCCTCCCATCCTGTCCCTCGTCGCCGCCAAGGTCAAATGGGATGGCTTTTTCAATGAATCTACTTTTAGCTTAAAATAAATAGGACAGGGGATTGGTGTCGATTCTGTCTAAGTTCAAGATGTCATTTTCTGTGACGGCCAAACGCGAGGCACAGCGACGATGTCATATTACTCGGGCCTTTTTTTTAGCTTTCATCCTTTCAGCAATTGATGCTGAATTATCATGGAAAGATATAAGAATGGTGCAATCCCCCCCCCCCCCCCCCACCAATTGCGATTGATCCAAATGCAACGCACGGAGTGTTTTTTGAGGGCATTCACAGACGTGCATGATGCCCCACTCACTTTATCAGTGCATGCAATGAATTCGACATTCATTTAATACAACCCAAATGCTGTACTGAACACGACGTACCCAATTTGTTTGATATAACAAAAACAAAAAAATGCTGCATCAGAATCCGGTATGGATAAATTGCTCATATGTTTACGTACTATACAGGAAGCTTCGAGCATTTCAGTGTGGGTGCATGCGGAAGATGCCAGGACTTCTCTGCCAGGCTAAGCAACGGAAGATCACAATTGAATAGAACGTGCGGAGACAAACGTTGCAGGTGCAATCGGGAAGGACGTGTGGCGAATGGTGGGACGCGTGTTTCGGAGGACAGAGGAGAGCGCGTCCCCGATGCAGGCTTTCAAGTGGCAGCTAGAGGTCAGCAGGCAAGGTGAAGACGAAATGCAGGCGTGGGGGAGGGAGTCTACAGCCCCTGGTAATCTTAGCCGCACTAATCAGGTACTAAAAGGGCAATGCTTTTTGACCTGGTGGTAGTACTGTGTTTCTAATTTTAGCGTGATCAGTCACTTCTGTCCCTGCAAGGGGCCCCTTTGCAGTGATAGATGTGACCAACAAAGTGAGTGCTCGTGTGTGGCCCACCAATGGTATCTGAAAGTCCTACTTTGGCCTTCAGTACGTATATCTGAAAGTCCTACTTTGCTCTCAGTATATGTATCTGAAAGTCCTACTTTGCTCTCAGTATATGTATCTGAAAGTCCTACTTTGACCCTCAGTATATATAAAAAAAAGGTTCCTCACACCTCACCTAAAGCCGGGTGGACACTGTACGGGTGGAACTTTGAAATCAGATGTCGACTTGCACCAGCTGATTGAAGGGGCCAATGACAAGGTGAGGTGACCATAATCACGTGCTCCTCTGGTAGGTTGTTAAAGTCACTACGTGGCGATATACCGAGCCATAAACTTGGGGTTAACATTGGCACTAGTCATTGGGATGATATAAAGACACGAATAAGTGAGTTTGGTCCTGATTGAAGAGTGAAGGGATCGATGCAAACTTCCCCCAAGAACAAAGTTCTACACAATTAGAATGGCACATCAAATACCCTTCCCACGTGTCGTGGTACACGTGTCGTGGTACACGTGTCATGGTCCACGTGTCCTCACGGTTCATAACCGGCCACTGGTCCAAACTCAGGAGAGCAACAATTGACTCCTCCTCCTCCACTGGAGATTTGATGAATCGTTGTCAGTCGCGGTCGCATCGCGATTCCACAATCAACTCTTCTTCAAACTGTGTTGAATGTAGTAGCGGCCACTAGTGGCTGCTGGAGCCAACGTGAATCGAGGCTTGGGTTTCTCGAGGCCAGCCCCTTGCCCTCCAGACCAGCTCAAGGACATTTTCTCTCCTGGCCCTGGCCCTGAGGTGCAGTGGTTGGTGGATAAAATAGCAGTGAGTGGAGCTTGCAAAGTAGATTTGTGTGACCTAAGGGGAGATTTCACCCGAGGAAGTTTATTTAACTTGGCCGGAGGCCTTGAATCCAAGGCTGCATGAACACCATTACGTATAACATATATGAATTGAGAAACATTGATTCTTACGTGGCCCTTACGAATTAGCTGCGAGCTTACGAATCGACGTTTGTCAATGAGACGATGCATGCTCATTGGAGGTGCAGCGAATCCACTAAACACGACTACGGCACATTAACCACAATAACAAAAACAATGTGATTTTTTTTACTCAAATCATGACAATTCACTGAATTGCAAGGGTTTCAATCAATACGGTACTAATAGTCACGATGTATAATTGACTGTTTAAAACGTTCCTCAAAAGCAATTTGGCGGAATAGTTTTTTACGCCCCATATAGTTATGATTTTATTAAAATCGCAATCCCCTTGTCAATCCCCTGCTGGACGAATGTCTTCCCATGCCGCGTCGATCACAGGCAGGGCTTGTATGACCATACTTCACCACGCTGGTCAGCGTGGGTTAGCCTCAGGATTGGTTACAGATATCATGGCCGGCAATTGAACACGGGTCGCAGTAGCACCACACCGCCCCTTGTGTTTTATACGAACTGAATGAAAATTTTAAGCAAAATATATTTCATGTATAAATAGTTGTAGTTACGAACTGCAATACGAGTCTTTTTTTGTTTGCACTGGGATTCTTTCCCGGAATGTTCACCAGCTCGTGCACCACGCTGTTTAATGGCTCCTTCATTGTTCATATTTACCTTCTCCTATCCACGCCAATTACGGGAGAAAGAAACTGTTTGTTGGTTCATGCGATTTGCATAGAGGGCGCTGCAAAACAACGCTGCCAGGATGCAAATTGAGCATGCACTTACTTGGCCTGCGCCTCGGACTGCATCACAATGAACTCCCACTTGCGTGCAAACGCCTGCTGAAGCCTCACCAGGCTTTCCTGCAACAGCAAGCGGCACACATCCCGAGGGGTTATCCATCGCCGTCCTATACAGGCAGCGGAACATTCGCTGGTGAAAACACAGCCCTTTCAATTGCTTGCACGCGCAACCGCTGGTGGAAGTCCCTCCACTTGAGAGCATCTCTCGAGGATATTTTGGCCAGCTCTTTCATGCAGACCCGGCGTCTTAGAGGAGTTGGGAGTACCCACACTTGACCACGTCACAAGTGACCCATTTTATACTTCTGGGTGGACAGAGGCAGGCGGATTTAAGGAACGCACCCATCCAGCGTGGGAATCTCTCAAGATTTGTAGCCAAGAATTGCGTACACGCAACGTACGCATGAGGATTGTGTGTAGACAGAGAGGGGCCTTCAAAGCATCTCGCAACTCTGTTCAACGGCATGGCATGAAAGTTGTGTTTCAAAATTGTGTACACACTACCGAACTGGACTAAAGTACAAGTCTCGTCATAAATTACTCGAGTGGAACGTACGTTAGCAAGCATTGTACCTTTCTAAGAAAGACTTGAAAAAGAGTCATGAGGCTCGGTGGAGCTTTACTGAATAAACAAGTGGAATAATGATTATAATGATGATGTCACTGACTTGACCCAAGCGATTTTCAAATATAAATAAAAACCCAGAATAACTCACTGCTTCGTAGTCTGCCAGTTCCGAGCGGGATTTGTTTTGCAATGTTCTCTTGCATAAATACACGGCTGTGGGGAAGGCAGAGGATGCGTTGACAATTAAGCAGACACGGAAAAACACACAGGCGCCACACGCGACCGCACAGAAGAATCCGCAAACGCAACACCGCGGTCGTGCTACTGTAGTACGACCGTTTCAAAGACAATGCATATATTATCAGAGTACGTTTTTTGTTTGCATTCTGACCACAAGTGTTGTGGTTAATGCAGACATGATTCCATGTAAAAGGTTTCAGTTTGGTGTTTAAACATCTTAACACCTGTTTTGTTGCCAGAAAAAAGGGGAAAACCTATTCTCATATTTTGGTCCTGGCAAAGGAGGTCCCATGATGTAGATGCTCACCCCGAACCCTCATTACTCTGAGAATGCTCGTTGTTGTGCTGTACGCCTTTTCGCGTCCTCTGGTCTAACACCGTTTTGAGACTAGGCAAAAAAAAGCTGTCTCTGGTGTGACCAATCAATTTAAAAGACAATGCATATATTATGATAATTGTTTTTTTACCCTTTTATCTGGTAACAAAACTGACACCTTTTTTTACAAGGAGTCATGTTTGCATAGACCGCAATACCTGCAGTTGGAATGCAAAAAAAACACAACTCTGATCATGTATGCACTGTCCTTGAAGTTGATTGGTCCACACCCGGGACAGCTTTTCTTAGAGCCTAGTCTCACGTGGTGTCATCTGGTCCAACACCATGTGATAATTGTTTTTTTACCCTTTTATCTGGCAACAAAACTGACACCTTTTTTACAAGGAGTCATGTTTGCATAGACCGCAATACCTGCAGTCGTAATGCAAACAAAAAACATTGGTCCACACCCGAGACAGCTTTCCTTAGAGCCTAGTCTCACATGGTGTTGGACCAGATGACGCCAAAAGGCGCACACCTTTTGGCGTCCGACGTTTGGCCGCACGTGCTGGGAGCTTGTTTCGGAACTGAAGTGAGCACTGAGCAGTTCCCTCTCTCCCATCTCACCAGGGATGTTCACTCCCTCGCCCAACCCTCACGCAGGTATGTTTGGAGTTTGCTTGTTCTCTCTTTCCCCCATAGTCGCATGGATTCTTCCCCGGGGCCTCCTATGATTCGCTCCACAATTAGAAACATACTCTTTGGTTTTTTTGGTAAAGTCACGTAGGTAAAAAAATAAAATAAATGAAAACAAATAAATTAAATCACGACTTTTCGGGCGCAACACAAGCGTCCTTCTTCAGGTGGGGACAACGTAGCGAAAGCACAACCGCTTGAGTGTGTCTAAGAGATGGCTGTGACGAGGAATTATCTAGTCGCGGGGGATGGAGGGAGGGAAGGGGCCAACATTAAAAACATGCGTTTAGAGTATTTGGCTGCTATACATTTCCACGTGATGGGCCACTTTGTTGAGATATAATTTGTGGCCAGGTCGCTTCTGAAAAAGAGCTGTATATCTCAGTGCGCCTTACCTGGTAAAATAAGAAAATAAAACAACTTTAAAATAGTAAATAGATTATTTTGCGATGCCGGCTGCTGTTAGTGTCGGCAGTTGTTGACTTCGATTAGTCTTAACTCTCTGACAGGCCGGTTCCCACGCTGTTTTTATTCGTCTGGAAGGAAACCGGAGCACCCGGAGAGAAAAAGTGAGCAAGCGCTGCTCAACTCAGTTCCTGAAGAAGCTCCCAGCGCGTGCGGCGAAACGTCGGCACATGTCACCGAACAACACGCTGCACAAGCCGAAGATGGTGCCACGCGGTGCAGCTGCAAAAAAAACGACGCGGTAATCCTAGACGCGCGGTGAACAACGAGCGGTAAACTCCAGCATTCAGGTTTCTTTTACACGTGTCAGCAGGGGCTGTGCGGTCGGTGACACCCTATTCTATCCACCGCGATTATTCTCGTAAACGCACGCTGCTCAATCATCGGCACACGAATGGTACTCAATTCAAGCCGAGTCAACCTAGAAGGAGGTCACCGCCGTGCGTGAAGAATGGAAGACGGCACACAAAAGGGCATCATAACAGCACCATGCTACTTGCTCCCGGTTTGCAATACACCTTGGGGGAGGGAGAGGTGAAAGATATTCCTTTGAATTCGTTAAATCGGGATGATTTGAAAAATTGACTCCCCATGCATTGCATCCAATTATAATAGCACTTCCAACATAATGTAATTCAGCACTTCCTGGGCGCCTAGACATCCTCCAGAAAAAAAGGCCACATTGTCACAAAGGCAGGCGGCATGCACAGCCACACAGCGCAGATAATTAAAGGCTCGACACGAAAAAGGCAATAGCCGTGACAACGGAGACCCAAATATGGAGGTGACTCATACGGGAAATCCCGACGTTAAGTTACGCCGCGGCATTGCAGGTACCAGCGCAGGAGACTTTAAAACAAAAACGGATCTACGGCACGGTATATCGTCATGAGTGAAGATTCAAATGGTGCGTGATTTCGTGATCGTAGCACGCGGTACGTGTATTGGATTTTTTTCCGTCCTGTCAAATCACCCGACATGTGCCAGCCAGGCCTTCTTCAGGATGTGGTGAAGCTAAGAAAGTTCGGGCCTGGAGGATTCTCAGATGGGTGACGGCAATCGATTGCTGGGTTGCCCTTGGCGGCTGCGAGGCTGCGCGTGGTAGGGAGTGCAGTGAAGCAAAATATTGTGTTGGACTGTGCTTCCTACGCTCCTGTTGTCATTGCTCTCCGCTTTCACCAAACCCGCACTGAACAGCGTGGTAGAGTTTGGTCAAACAGACCGACATGACCACTTTGAGACTAGGCTCAAAAGAAAGCTGTCTCTGGTGTGGACCAATCAGTTTCACAGACAATGCATATACTATATGATCTGATAATTATCAGAGCATGTTTTTTTTGCATGTTCACCACAAGTACGTGTGGTTAATGCAGACAAATTTCATTGAAAAAGGATTATGTTTGTTTTCACATCTTAACATCAGAAAGGGTCAAACCTATTGTTAGATTTTGATACTGGCAAGAAAGATCCCATATTGGTATCTATATGAAACGATCTCATCAATACGTGTAAGTTGATATACCATCCTACGAAGTCGCATGTCGTGGTTTATGTTTTTAATTAGAGAGTAACGTCGCGAGGGTTGAAAGTCACCAACGGAGCATTCACGTGGGAAAACAAAATGCCGATTGCGACGCACATGCCGCCTTCACTTGGTGGATCACAACACCCATCGGGATAAAGCTGAGTAAACGTAACCTGCCGTGCGATAGATGGTTTCACAACAATGTTCCTTCAAGGAGATACCTCCCAAAAACATTGGGCTCCTCTTGTAGTGGCACTTAAAAAAAAATCTAAATAATTTTCGCCAATTTTATCCCTATTGTGCTTATTGCTGTCACGTCATAAGACAAATAATCCATTGGAAGCAGATATCAAAGAGCTATTTCTGAGATCTTTCATGTTTTTGGTTTTTGTTTGTTGCGGTTGCACGCGATTCAAGAGCCCAATGGCTCACAGGGCTAAACCTAATAAATTAACTTGAACTTGTAAGTGATCTCTGGTCCGCACAGTCACGGGCAGCCCACAACATTTTCGTGAGTTTGCGCCATTCCCAAAGAGACAACGAATTCCGCATTTACAAGGGGCTACTTTGGGTTGTTCGTTTGTGTCTTCCTTCAATAGCTCCAGAGATATGTAATATTGCTCACCATGGCTCAGTATTTAATGAAAATATGTTCTTTATTTACCCAGGAAAAGCCTCGCTGAATCTCAATACGTAATTAGGAGGATCGCCCATTGTAATATTTGTCTAATATGATGTCTAATACTTTAAGAAACTGGGTAACCCAGGGGTGAAACCCACAGTATAGGAGATGGAGGATAATACTCAAACTTCAGATGCTGGTTCAGTGAAAAAGAGCCAAGCGGTGACGACGATAATAATGATCTTCTTCTTTAGTGCTGCCTAACGGCGTGTGCGACTTCACGATGATATTGGTCCCGGTCTAGCACGGCGTGTAGAGTTTGTGCTGTTGTTAATTGTAGCCATGTTTTGATGTTACTGAGCCATGTCGTTTTTGGCCGTCCTGGTCGTTTTTTCCCTTCGATTTTCCTTCCAGGATTTGCTTTAATAGCTGGTATTTGTGGTCGTTTCGGGCAATGTGGCCTAGGTAGTAACACTTCCTGCTAATGATGGTCTTCAGCAGTTGCCTGTCAGTGCCCATATCTTGCAGAACTTGTGTATTGGTGGTTTTGGCTGTCCATGGGATTTTCAGCATTCTTCGATACAGCCACATCTCGAAAGCTTCGATAATAATGATAATGAAAATTATTATCAAACATGATTATTACTGTCATATTATAATGACAAGCCACACTTACCGTAGTCCATATTTTCCGGCTCCCAACAGTTCGATGGCCAAAAGTACGGCGTCTGTTGGATACAAAAAGTTCCGCACGTTTTATTTTAATTCATGAAGATAATTGCCAAACCAGAACACACATTAGCCAGGTCACTTGTGCAACCTTCATGACGATTTATGCCCGGCTCTAATTTTAGCACGGGTTGAATTTCTTGATGGAGACTTTTTAATGGACATTTTCAACAGGGGGTAGGGGTAGCTTAGGTAAAAAAAAAAAACAGCTACTACAAAAACTAGATTTTTTTAAATTGGCATGTAAGAAATCTTTTTCGCTTTCAAGTGCACACCTAACGGCGAGACAGAATTCCTCAGCTTTGAATCCAATTTCAGTGGCTTATTGTGGATAAATCATTGCCCTCCTGCAGCACGGGGTCATGGGTTCAATTCCTGCTATGACCTGCACTCGATTGAAATGCTCGAAACAATTAAGGCACTGCCAATGCTCCTGCTGCCACTTGCATCCGTTCACCAGTGACGGCGAAAAATGACGTTCCATGGAAATATGATGGTGTGCGCGATTGCGATCGGCCTGTGATATCAATTTAAAAAAAACTAACAACAAAGCTGCGATGATCGCTGCTCATTTTGCAAGTCACTGAAAGGTATCGCTCGAGAGACAGAATGAGAAAATACGTGGATTTGAAAACATACGCAGATTAGTTCGTGACATCACTCAAACTACCAAAAGAAGAGTAATTTGGCTTGGGCAGGTCATTATTTTAGTAATTATTAAGGCGGGTCCTGCCAAGTAAAATATCACTACAATGTCTGAAGACATGTGGCTACGATGTACGATGGTCAGCAATAGTGACGGATTGGAGCATCCCGAAGTACATCCCTCGAGGAGACGGAGTGATGAAATCAGGTCGTGCGCGTTGCACAAGGTACTATGTGGAGTATTACAGGAGATGGAGCGACGACTTGGGGAGGCCCTCATTGTGCACTGCACTACGAACCCAGTGACCCTGTGAGCTTGGTTCAACTCCCAGACATGGGTAATGATATCAGTGGCGAGTAACATCTGACCATCTGGGCACCTCCTTAACCAACCCTCCCTGACCAGTATGGGGAAGTATGGTCAAACAACCCGCATCACTGACACAGTGTTGGGAGATGTTCATCCGGCAGTGGCTTGATAAGGGGCTAAAAATTGCTAATATTCGTATAGTATTGTTTAATAGCATCTTGATAAGCATGTACCTTTGTCATTGGATAAATCACACCACACACTCCAGTACGTCCAGAAGCAAGCAAAATAGGACACATCACTCGCTCCATATTGCGAGCTTAAAAAACAGATTACAAATCCGATTATCTGAAGTGCAGAAAACAACTCTCCGTTGATATTACTGCTCGTGGCTGCACGGCTTCGTGTATTGCTTGTACCGTTCGGGGCAAACCTCAAACCCACCGCCCATGCTGGACCTGCCGCTTGTATAGATCTTGCCACGGATACACGCGAGGGCTCTGCCACCCGCACGAAGCCCGCATGACGCTTGCACGACGTTCGCACGACGTCCGCACAATGCTCACACGACAATCACTTCGCCTCCCAACCAACATCTTTGCCAAACACAGCGGGGGCGCGGAGTTGACTCAGCGTCGTTAAAACAAAAATACCAAGAGAGGGAGGCAACACGTTATACTTAGCGTCAATGTGGTGCGAGGATGTTCCGTCTCAACAGAATGCAGTTCCTTTCCGTGGGTGGCAATCATTGTGACTAACGCAGGTACTGAACCGTGCACTCAATGCCAGCGGGTGGAACAATGCGATCCCTCCGGTTCCGGAGCTAATTTCCACCAGCGGCACACTCCAATTTACGACGGACAGGAAGACCAATTCGAAGTCACCACGCGCACTCCGGCGTCAGTCGCTGTCACGCTGAGCGCCGTGTCAACAACCCAGGAGGAGGTACGAGATGCCGTCCCGGGTTTCATTCCCGCTTGCGACTTATACTACGTGGCGAGCGATGCCTCAGTTGGTCCTGGGTCCCCCCCACCCACCCCCACTTCATCAAGCTACGCTAACCATATTCTATGGGTCTTTCGGAAGACCCATAGAATATGTATTCCTGCAGTCACGAAAGCTTTAAGTCAAGATTCTGCGCTAACCAGAATATGTTTTGAAATCTTATTAATTAGTTTTAGTATTTCGCCTGACTGAAAGATCCTTCACGATGGAACATCTCTTCGTGCGCGGTGAAGTATGGTCAACCAGCCCGACGACCGACGTGACGTGGGGAGGCCTTCATTCAGTTTTGCTCCGTCGGCACGAGCGTAACGGCATTCAGTCCCTCCAGAAAAACGCGGAGTTCTTTGGTGATTGTTGCGGGCAAAAATCGTTGATTATGCGGCACGTTTTCTTAAAAAATGCGATGGAATATGCGGGATATTTATGCAATTTTATGCGATTAAATTGCGGGAACTTGCAAAAATTGCGGGAACTTGCAAAAACTGCGGTTTGATGAAAAAGAGAAAAAAAAGTGATTCTCCCAACACCCTATTCACTAGGCTACTACTTGAATGTAAAGAGTCATTTCTTATTACTTCCTATGATAAGCAAGCATACTACATCACAGAAAGTGCTGGGAATATTTAAGTTCTCATCTTGTTTTATTTCAGACCTTAACAAACAGATGGCTCAAACTTACAAAACATTGAGTCGAACAAGTTCTGTAGCTTTACTAAATGAATATGCTACAACTTCTGTAAAAATGAATAAATAAAATATAAAAAAATAAAATATTAAAAAATAAAATGTGTGCTTCCTGTTTTACAGAGGTAGCTATACAAAACAGACATATTCTGTTAAAATAAGTGTTTTCAGTGCACAGTAACGTAAGCAATACAGTAACAGTACAGTCTTACAGTAATGTAAATTTACATACTACTAACAAAAAAGTGCAATCTTACAACTGTAAAGTTGCATAAACTCCTGAATAAAACTAACTACGTAGCCTCTAACACTTCATAACGTTCCCATGGCAACAGGGGAAATGGCTGCGCTTGTGTGAAGTAAACGCAACATTTTTCAACTTTCTGCTAAGATATATGTGACTTTTTGCAACGAAAATGCGGGGATTATGAAATCATGCAAGCCCGCATATTTTGCGCGCGGAAATCTGCAATTTATGCGGCGAAAGTGCGGCGTATTTGAAAAAACGCGCCCCCCGCATAAATATGCGGACTTTGGCTGATTTTGCGTGGAATCTTGCGATCGCATAATCGCGTTTTTCTGGAGGGACTGGGCATTGCGTATTATCACGCGCGTACAAATTGCATCAAAGTTAAACAATTGACTTTCGCTCGCACGATTCAAAGTGTATATCGTAAGCATATGCATCGATTTTAAATCGGTGATTCTATGCGTCGTGCCATGACTTTTAGTTGGTAAAACGTTTACAAATGTAGAGGAGTAAAATGAGGACGTGACGTCAGGTGTGCCGTTCAGTGCGATGACGTCACGTCTCCTAGGGTACTTAAGGGATACCCCGTGATGTAAGCGGGGTCACTATAGGAACGGGTAGAGTAAGAAGGGTGAAGAGGGAACCAGGGGTAGAGAGAGGGATCGAGTGGTGAGTCTGGGGAGAAGCCGGTGGTAGCCGTAGAGGTGCTTCTCTCTCCGGTCGGTGGAGTCGGCAGAGTCCACGATCCGACACGAGAGAGAGAGAGACCGGAGCTAGCCGGCAGGGACCCGGACTCAGAGTAGGACCCCTAGCCCCTGGGAGTTGTGTACCCTGCTGTGTAATATTGTATCGTGGTTGTGCTGCTGCGTCGCTCTACCGACGCGTTTTCGGACTGCGCCCGCGTTTTGTTCGGCACGATGTCTGACGTTTCACTCAGCGCCCCGGGGTAGCGCCTGTTTCCGCAATTCGTTTCCGTTTCTGAAGGCAGCTCCCGAGCACGAGGAGCGAAACGACGGCAAATGAAAATCCACCAAACAGCACGTGGGGTGCAACCTGACAACACACACGGGAGAGTTGTCCACGTTCGCGATTGACACGAGGGGGCTGTGCGAGTACGCACACACAAAACTGACACCTTTTTTACGAGGAGTCATGTTTGCATAGACCACAATACCTGCAGTCCTAATGCAAACAAAAAACACAACTCTGATAATGTATGCACTGTCCTTGAAGCTGTCTCGGGTGTGGACCAATCAACTTCAAGGACAGTGCATACATTATCAGAGTTGTGTTTTTTTTTTGCATTATGACTGCAGGTATTGTGGTCTATGCAAATGTAGGGGTGTTAAAGAGAGGGCCCGTTATGCATGGCAGTCTATGGGAAACAAACACAGTGGGCGGGGCTACGTGTGTGCACGGGGAGATGCCCTCTGCGACGTCCGAGCCAGACACCCTGGGGGGAGGCTGGTTCGGCGTTATGATCCCCCGGGGCCCCACCCCTCAAGGAGGGGTTGGGTATAAAAGGGGATGTTATAGGGGCTCGAGGCAGTTATGTTAAAAAGCTAACCAGAGAAGACTGAAGACGTCTTAGATAGAGCCCTGGACTCCCCTCGTTCGATGTCCTTATCAGGGCCGAACAGGACTGAGCCAGCGGCGTGGTCCCGAGAGCCAGAGCCGGTGCTCTTCTAAGAGCTGGTCTGGGACTCCGGGTACTGGGCCCGACTTACCAGTGTCGGGCCAGACAGCCTCCCCTAGCCCATTAGTGGAGGACTAAGAGGCAGGCTAGGAATAGCTAGGACGTGTATCCTTAGCTAGTCGGGTGAGGGGGCCGATACCCCCTCCAGTGCTGTATGCCACGAACGTGCTGTGTTAAATAAATATACGTGTGCCTCCACCTCGGTGTCAAGTGTCTTCACCGGTACTTCAACTGGTGTCAGAAGTAATTCGAACATGGACACGCGGAAGACAGCGCGGGCCAAAGTACCGCGGGAGGAAGACACTGCCGAGATCGTCGAGCCCGACACGGCTACACAAGACATGGTGCAGCCGGGGCCTGATGCCTCCTTACCGGGGCATCGGAGTGAAGAAGGACCACAGCCAGACGC